AAAAAATAAAAAATTAAAACAAAAAAGTCATTTATTAAGAAATTCATTCAATTACAAAATGACAAGACTGAGAACTCGAACAACTTGCAAAAAGTCTGTGTTAGGCTGGGGATACAGCTCAGAGGCCCAGCGCCGGCCTGGCAGGCACAAGGTCCTGAGTTCAGTTTCAGGTACTACATTAATGTCGACGGGCCTCACCGATAAGACAAAATCGTTTATCTTGCTCATAAGTACATTTTTCTAGGTTCAGGAGTAAAGGTTTTGAATTTTTTCTCTTTGCTGCTCTGGAGTTGGAACCTCGGGTCTTACTGCGCCAGGCAAGCGCTCTACCGCTGAGCTTCACCCCGTCCTTGTTTGAACTCTTTTGTCCTGAGACAGTGTCCTGCTGTGCAGCTCGGCCTGGCCTGGAACGTGCAGGGGCCATGGGCGGAACCCACCACGCCCGGGCCTCGTCTGGATCCTTAGGCTGTCCAACGGTAACCAGGCACCATTTATGTTCTTTTTAGTGACCCCAAAACTGCGAACGTGAGTCCCAACAGGAGCGGGCGCCTCTTACGTGCTGGGCAAGAGGGGCTTTCGGTACTTGCACTGAATCCAAACTCGGTACATGGTCAACTGCTTCCCTCGGTTCACCTGCAATCGTCGGTCCACCAGATTCTGCACCTTCTCCAGTCCTGCAGTGGTGAAAAGTGTGTCCAGCTCATCTGTTTGGAAGAGAAGACATTTATCTATTTTTCCAAAAATAAAAGGCCTTGGGGCTGGTGAGATGGCTCAGTGGTCTAAAGCACCTACTTGGAACAAGCTTAGCAAAGCAAAGCACAGGGACCGCAGTTCAATCCCCCAGCACCACATGCCAGCCAGCCTGCCCCCTGGTGGGCTGAGCTGCCCCCCTCAATAAATAAATAAATAAAATTAAAAAACAAAACAAAAACAAAAATAAAAGGCCTTTTGTCAATTGCTCCTTGTGCTAGCAGGGCATGTGACAGATGGTACCCCGTGCACGTGAGCGGCCTTAGAACTAGTCAGAGATCTG